CACTGTCTGACGCGTCTGCCTCCGCGACCCGAAAGGAGAAGCGGCGATGGAAGATGAAGATGAAGATGTTGTTCAATCATGCATTGAGCATAGTGTTCATACGGACAACAACTTTTTACTGTATGTCCTGCGATGATCCACCGAATAAGTGTATTTCAATCAGGACCATGTATCCATCCTGTTTGTTTATCTGTCAGAACTAAGTTCCATACGAATTCCGTTGCGCCGTTCCAGCGCCAGTTCTCAGAGACTTCAGAGCGCAGCATTATTTGACGATGCTTGATAGAAGGTAATTTTTCACCCTAATGAGCGGATCAATTTCCAAAACGATAAAAGGTTGATTCGTTGCATAAGCGAATCAGAAAAAGATTTACGCAATGTTCGTACTGACACACCTCTGACTGCAAAGCCGACAACTTTCACGCGCCTCACTAACCTTCCCCCCCTCCCCCGCCTCACGTTTATAGTGAAGCATATTCTTTTAAGCATCATAATTGCCTTGAAAAAACGGATGTTGGCGTCGAAGCGGCGAGCGGCAGTCTACAACAAATCTGCCTAGAAGAAGACGCTTAAATTTCAACCTGCAGCAGGAGTGGTTAGAGATCTCCACGTGAAGAAGAAAAGCATGATAAAACTTGTTTAATGCTGTCTACTAATTAAGCTGAGGATGATAATTTTTGCTTGTACACATGAGAAGCCAGGGGCGCCACTGTATGGCTGATTCCCTGAAAAAACATCACTCATTCTGAAACTTGCGCGAATCAGAAAATATGGCAGCAAGTTCTGCTTGATATCAGCATTTTGAGCAGTGGACGACATCTTTGATTTATTGTATTATTCCTGAGCTAAAGCACAAGTTCGCAAATTCGCGTGTTAGCGTTTTGCCCCTGCCTCATTCTGCTTACAGCTCCCTGAATTCTGTTTCAGCAGGTTAGTCTACGTGTTATAAGAGGGATTGCGGGGTCGATGTTTATGTATCTTATCATTTTTTCTAGCTAGTGAAAAATTTTTCTCGTCAGTAGCGAAAAGTTGATTTCTCTGTATTCTTTCACAGGGACATTACAGAAGATTTAATAATTATTTAACAAATCGTAATTATGCTAAACTACAGTATGTTTTGATACTGTAATTGTACCAGTACACATAAGTCTGATTATCCACCTAAATTTATTTTATTTACTTGTAGACAGCTTCCAAAATTTTTTGACCCTGTAGTTGAATTTTTTCAGGGAAGTTAGCAATAGTTGGTTTGAACTGTTGAACATGCTATATAATATTGGTCTGTGGTACATGAAACATGCCGCGGCACTCTGCCTCAAAGAAAGGTACACATTCATTTTACGCAAATTGCGACGTACCTTGTGCATGACGAATTTTTCAGTGTTTCTGAAGATCAGGCCAAAGAAGTTCACATGTGTCTCAGACAAGCAGCTGGCATCTTTAATTACATTGAACGCGAGAAAAGCAAATGTAGTCAAGACTTTGAACCTGGCTCAGACTTTGACTCTGACGTTTTACAAGCCTATTCCTCCCAATGTTTGGCAGAAGCTCAAGAAGGTTTCTCATTTACTGTTAATTCGTTCGATTGCTATGATTTGCGTAAATGCATTTAAGATTAATAATTTTTTATCTGAACATAAGTTATATGATTATTTTTTAAGTTTGAATTCATGACCGTAAATATTCTAATCTCTTATACTTATAATCTTTGAAATTAACAAGTTCTCTTTGATCTGAATTATTGTTTTATGCAGTGAATATTGGCATACGCTGCACTGTCTATTGATTTTTAATGTTTTTTCGAACGAGTGTTCGAATTTGAGTGTTTCCTGCATGGATGTAGTTCTATAACTAGTCAGTAAATTTTCAAATCGCCTCCGCATGAAAGTCACTGAAGACATAGTAGACTTCCGGATATCATGGTAGAAGCCCTTAAGTGGACTGTGAAAAACTGGTCATCGTGTGAGGCATTCACTGTTAAACTCTGTTAACTTCATTTGCCTTTGCCAGTGCTGTTGCTAAAGAAAGAGACGGACGATATCTAGCAGAAACTAACTTCCTCTATGCGTATGTTTCTCTTAGTGAAGTTTTCGGAGAGATTTTCAGTGACGCGGAATATTTGATCATGAGAGTTTTACTGAAAATGAAAGATCGATTGACCTATGATGTTTTTCATTCATTTTTAGCAAATCTGATACACCATCAGGCGACTACAACCAGTCAACAAGATGATATTTTTCCGATCGATGGCAATCTCTTTCTTATTCACGAATTCTTTTGAGAAAAAAATTCACCGCATGTTGTTTCACTTGGGACAGCGTCGAACTCAGAACCGATAAATCCCGAGTTCAAGCTCCGGTCAGAGTCACTCGCCTTTCTTCGTTCCAGTGTTGATAAAGAAGTACCACTCTGTGAGAGGGAAACCGGACACTGCAGGCAGTGCGTGCCACATGGCTGTAAACTGCCTTTAAAAAACAACGCGCTCCTTGCTGACGGCATTGAAATAGACATCAGCACCGCACCATTAATTTCGTGAAAATAAGGGTGCCAAAATGACCCAACCATGAAAGTGAAAAAAGATCGACATTCCAACAATAACAAACTTTCCTTTCCTTTTTCTGAAATAAATAATAAACTATTAAATGGTTAATCATTAAATGTATTAATGAATTTTTTTGTATAGTGTTTGTTGTTCGCAGGAAGTTTATTTCCATGAGTCCTGCCTATAAGTAATAGTTCTGTCGATGCAGACTTGTGGCGTTTTTATTATATGTTTTTCTATTTATGTAATTTTAAATGCGTTTTGGTAGAAATCGTTTGCATGTGTCTTCAGTTCCTATCTTAGAAGTTTAGTTGTTGTGGTGAGAGCAATCGAGCTGAAACACAAACCTGCCGTTACGTTTTCGGTTTCGTTGGATACTGCCCGTCGTTTCTCCGAAAGTGGTAACTGTCGTGCAACGTACTTCTTTGCGTTACATGCTTATCTTTTTTGCTTCTTTCAGCTGAACGTCTGAAAGCAAAGGATATGACCAAGTTCGGAAAATGGTATCTGTACTTGATGTTAAAAAACGAGCTGTACTTAGCTTACGCGTTCACGTTTTTCTCTGACTCTTTGCTGGCAGAAGACAGATGCGGTGAAGCTATTAGGACTGTCAGAGAGGCCCATTCAAGTGCGTTTAATTTTTATCAGGTGTACCTTCTTTCATTTTACTCCATAAGGATCATGTTGTTCCTCCCCTTTGTGTGTTTGACATATTGATCAGGCGGCGACGGTAGCTCAGTCGCGGCTAAAATTTTAGTCAGTTTTAGTCTGCAAGTCGTTTGTGAAACGCATCGATGAAAGATTAGGCTGTAGAACAAATTTCTAAACATCTCTGCAGCCTGTACCATGGTTCGTTTATAAAACATAGAAGCAGTACGGAAGGCGCTCAGTTTTGCAGTGGTGCAGCAACTAGCATCTAATTTATTTCACTTTTACTCCCCCTTCCTAATATATTGTTCATTTACAACTCATGGCGATCATCTTGACATATGAATTGCCAAGTTGCCTGTGCTCTGCCTTGATGTGGATGAATTTATCCCCCTTGCTGACAAAATTGACATCGTTCCTCTGAACTGTACGTTCGGAGCACTACTGGTATCATTGTTTCGGTCGTTCAAAACAAAATGGATTGTAATCGTTTCTACTACTTGTCTTTTTGAGTCATCCTTCATTAATGAATATGACGGTGCTGCCCTGATTACATTAAAATGCGATCATATGTTAATGCTCTGCGGTCATCTGACCAATGTAACGTTAGTTCGGTTTCTTTCTTACACAGTGTAGCTCAGTGATTTTTTATCTCAGGGGAATGGAATACGAGTAACCCGGTGTAGACTTGAATCCACGATCATCCGACAAATAGTTTTCGACACTCCAGCGAAGTCGAATTTTAACCGAACGTTGTGGATCGGCTATGATGTTAAGAGCTTACCAGAAAAGTGATCGAAATCTTTAGGTGTCGCTCGCGTTCCACGCTGGCCAATTTTAAGGCAGTCTACTTGATGGTCGTTGTCTTTCAGCCGTTTTACTCCCTGTCTGCGAAATCACTTAAAACTGACTGCTCGCTTCCCCTTACTGGATCTGTCTGTGTTTTCAGAGCTGGACAAAGCCATTGCCCTTTCCGTTGAATACAAGAAGGCCAAAGGCGCTTCAAGTGCGCCGGTGAAGATCGATGAGCACCATTTCGTGCAGAGGCTTAGACCTATCCTGAAAAGAATGACCGACAAATGCAATCACGAAAACGGCATCATGTAGCATATTACCTCGTTTTCAATTTCGACATCGCTGCGCATTTAGCTACCACCAGAAGGTGCCGATGGAGCTACCTGATTTCGAGTTGAAGCCTCTGTTTGGAATCGCTGAAGCGGTCGATTTTGTGTTACCGTCAAAGTCTGCTCTGTGGACTGCTGAGGCTTATGCCGGTTTTGACATATCCAAGGCCCAAATGCCTGACTTTTCAGTAAGATCTGGACAGATTTGCGTGTGCACCTGAATTTTACACCGCTCTTGTTTCAGAAAATGAAAAATAGCAATTCCAACCTCCCGCCGGTCAGTGAGAAACCTCCAGAAGAACCGAAAAAGCAAAATAACATAAGTGATTCCACTGGCTGTTCTGTTATGTGAATATAAAGCGTACTATCGCGACGTACTCTGCTCATCAATTGCAATCCATTTCACATTGAAGAATTCACGACACTGGTCGCGGAAGACTTGAAGTGCAGATACAAAAATTTTCTCCTGTTGGGTTTTTGGACGTTGTCGTTTTATTAATTTTTATGTAATGATATCAGTGATTATGCTCTGATTGCATGAAATATTCTATTTTTAATTTGATTCTTTTAAAAACTATATAAATACAGTTTATTCGTACACAAGGTAAACAAATTCATTAGTCACGTGATTAACCTATATCGATGTTTCAGTTGGTGTCTCACTGGCCTTCTTCAGGGTGAACAGGATTGATTTCTGAAGTTCGTTCTGCGGTCAGCATCTGTCTTAACGTTTGGAACCCATAGGTGAGCTTTCGCTCCTGTTGGTCGTTAAGTATTTTTTCGGCAATAGCAACAAAAGGCTCATCCAATCCGTTTACAATTTTTCTCGGTTGACATTTCGCAGTACTGGATAAATAAAATTTCAATGGTTTGTCTGTTCAGACAGTTTCTTTGATGCTACCCGTATAATCTGATCATTGCGGGGCATGACCTCTGCTGCATGTTGCACAATTCCAAAGATCGATTGTTTTTTGACCTGATTAAGAGCGAGAATCACCTGTTTTCTTCC